CTGGTATGTTCTTTTCAGCAGACTTGGGAGTATAGGCTTGGGGAGACCATCGCCTATTGTGACAGCCGTGTGAGGGAGCCATTCTGCCACCTCCTTTGCCCACGGGCTTTGACGCCAAGTAGTCTCAAGGTCAAATACCAGCCCCCCCCCCCCCCCGCCCCATGCTTCGGAGCCCAGAATCCCGGGACCATGCACTGCCCCCTCTCAGCCTGTTTCCTCCTTGGTGACGGAGCCTCTGTCACTCCTAACCGCTGGCCCTGGATGTTCCCTGCCATGTCCTGCCGCTCTTCTGGGGCCATGCCTGGCAGTGCTCAGGCTAGGGGAGCACTCACTGCCGACGTCCCGTGCTGTCAGGCGCAGGGCCTGGATGCTGGAGGTGCCAGCAGACACACCGACACACACTTCACACACACACACACACACACACATACACACCCCTTACGGCAGATGCAAGCCACTGGCCCATTTGGGAACCAGCATCAAGAAGTTGGAAGGCTTGTTTGTGGTCACCAGCTTTTGGTCTTTTTATTTTATTTGGGGGCACCCTCCTGGCTCTGCACCCAAACATCACTCCAATGGGGCCTAGACTAGATGTGCTGCTGAAGACTGAGCCCAGGGTGGTCACATGCAAGGCAAATACCCATGGCTGCATGCAGGGGAGGGCTGTGGGGTGTGTGTGTGCGTGTGTGTGTATGTGTGTGGTGGGGGGGTATCCTGCTTCCACCACCAGCGTGTGTGTGTGTGTCTGTCTGTGTCTGTGTGTGTTCTGCTTTCACCTCCAGTGTTCAGGCCGGCACCTGACAGTCCGGGAGTTTCCGGTGAGTGCCCCGCTGGCCAGTGGACTTGGCAGCCCAGCCGAGGCTCCTTGCTTGGCCCTTCCCTGGTTTCTGGTTTCAGCTTCCGGGGCAGCTGGCCAGCACAGGAAGAGGTAGAGTTGGGGGGTGGGGCTGCAGCAGGAGGCACATGCCTCTGAGGGCACCCCTCTTCTCCAGTGTGAGCAGCCTGACAGGGACCAGGGGCCTCAGGATGGGGTCCCATGCTCCACACCCAGATACCGCTAGGAAATCTTGGGATTGGCGTTAGGCCACCCTTGGTCTTTAAACAGTTGAGATCCCGAATGGCACCGCCCCAGGTTTATACGAACCGTTTTGTGAGGTCTGGGGCCAAAACCTTCGTGCAATCCTCAGCACAGGGAGTTCTCTGGCACGGTCTGGTACAGGGAGACTGAGAAGCCGTGTGAATGTCTCCTGCAGCTCTGCCGGTGTTCGGATGGTGTCATACGAGATTCTGGTGGGCTTGAACCCCACATCCACTCTCCCTTGCATGGTGCCCCGCCCTTCTGGGGGCCGGGCTGTGCCAGGCTCATCCAGGGAAGCGGGAGCGCTGCAGAGCGGACGGCAGGCCTGATTTGGCCCCTCGTACTCTCTGGGCAACAACACCCCTCGAGAGGACACTAGGACCCCCAGGAGGATTGGGGTTCGGGCTGGGGATTGGGTTCCTCCTGGCGGTGCTAGGGATCTAACCAGGACCAATCACGTGAAGAGCAAATGCCGTAGCACTGGCACTCTCCCCCAGAAGATTTTTTTTTTTTGCTTTTATTTTTTTTGGGGGGGGAGGGTCAACCCGGCAATGCACAGGGGTTCCTCCTGGCTCTGCACTCAGGAGTTACTCCTGGCAGTGCTCAGGGGACCAAATGGGATGCTGGGAATCGAACCCGGGTCGGCCGCGTGCAAGGCAAACGTCCTACCCGCTGTACTATCTCTCCAGCCCCATCCCCCAGAAGATTTTTTTGAACGTTTATTTGAACTTATTCCTTTGGGCCACATCCAGTGGTGTTCAGGGTTACCCCTGGCTCTGCACTCAGGAATTACTCCTGGCGGGGCTTGAGGGACCATATGGGGTGCCAGGGATCAAACCCAGGTAGGATGTAGGCAGGCCAGAGCCTTCCCCGCTATTTAATTGTTCTGGTCCCCCCTCTCTGTAGATTTCTCATTCTGTCAGTGGGACTGAGGTTGCTAGGCAGGAGAGCAGTTGTACAATGAAGCTGTTTTATTTTGGGAGGTACCCCTGTGGATTCTCAGCCAGGCTGTTGAATAAATTCAGGAGCCCAAGAATACGGTGCTGCTGGGGTCCCTGGGCAACTCTATCGGTGCTGAGGACCTCCAGGACCGCATGCAGCCGTGTTCCAGGGACCATGCAGGCCAGGAACCAAACCCCCAGTGCTAGACAGATGCCCTAACCACTGCACAATCTTATAGCCCCAAGCACTTTTTTTTTCAACCTTTGGGGCCATACCCAGCAGTGCCCAGGGGACCATGCGGTGCCAGGCCCGAGACCCTTGGCTCTCACACATGCATGCTCACCCGCGTGTGCTTCCAGCCCTTTGAGCCATTTCTGGGCTCCCGTAAAGGGCACTCAGAGTGATCCAAAACACAGAACCAACAGTTCACTTTCCCGCAGCGCCACTGAGCCGGACACTTTCCTTTGGTGTGGTAGCCCTGAGTCAGCTTTGTCCCCTGCGCAGACCTGGGAACTGAGGCCCAGATGGTGGAAGGAACTGGCCAGTGTCCCGCAGCTTCAGATTGGGCCGAGATAGGGTTCGAGCCGGCTTCTGCTGGAGCCCAAGCTCCAGACCCTAGCCCTTGGAGTGGTTCAGGGGGATGGCCGGGAACAGGGGCCATTGTTAACGGAGTGGGCTGCCCCTGTTGGCCCCTGCTCTGAGCCTGCTCAACCCGTAATGGACAGTCCAGGAAGGCCCTTTATCTGTGCTGCATTTCTGCCACTGGCCTGCTGCCCGCTGCCCGCTGCCGCACTATCTGATCGCCTCCTTCACATGAGGGTGCTTGCAAGGTGAGAAGCTGCGGGTGGCAGGTGCCCCGAGTCACCCCAGATCCATGTGCCTCCAGGAATTGGGGGGGGGTGTAATGGGCACGTCAGCTTAGGCTGGTGGAGGAGGTGGCCGCAGGGCTTAGGAACAAGCCAGCCCATGGCACTGACCACAGACTGAACTTCTGAGAAGCCTCTGGGTGCCCTGTGGGTCCAGCACTGTTCTCAGAAAGGGCCAGGTAGTTTCGGTCCGCCCTTCACGCCCTACCGAGGCCACCAGTTGCCCCCCACTAGCGGCTCTCCAGCACGGCCACGACTCCAGAGCACAGAAACCAATTTCTTAACTATCTGACTTTCAGTAGAAATACTTCCAGGGTCAATAAGTAAAATAGCAGAAATCCAAAACCAACATTTAATTCTTGAACCCAGCTGTAGAAAGCAAATCACGTCACAATGCTTTTTCAGCATGTCTGATTTGGGGGGGGGGGGTAAACTCTAAATTATAGTGGTGAATCTTTTATTGAAACAATGAATCTAATCAAAGCAGATAGAGTGTTAACTAGAATTCATCTGCCCCACAGGGACTGGGAGGGGTGGGGGGTGGGGTTTTATTGGGGTTCTTCATGGTAAAAAAAAATGTATTGGTAAAGGGAAATGTGTTTGATATTTGCATGACTGAGACCTAAACTTGAAAGCTTTGTAACCTTTCCCAAGGTGATTCAATAAATAAAAAAAAAAAAAATTAAAAAAAAAAAAAAAAGAAAGGGCCAGGCCTCGACTGGTGGCCCCGTGTCTGTGCACCCGCCCACCGTCCTTATCCTCACAGCTAGGCATGGAGCGGGCGTGGACAAGGGCATGTACAGCCAACAGGGAAGGTGGCTGGTTAGCAGGTTTTGTTTTGGGGCCACACTCAGGGTGCTCAGGGGCTGCTCCCCACTCAATGCTCAGGGTTGCTGCCAGCTGTGTTTGGGTCCCAGGTCTGGGATCAAACCGGGGCTCTAATATCTATGCACAGTACGTGCTCCCACCCTCTGTGCTCTCGCCAACCCGCCAGCAGTTGGTTTTTGTTTGGCTTGGGGGACGCACCCCACTGTGCTCAACATTTACTCCTGGCTCTGTGCTCAGGGATCTTTCCTGGTGGCGCTGTGGGGCCCTGTGCTATGTTGGGGATTGAAGTTGGGTCTGCTGCATGTACGGCGGTGCCTCAGCCTCTAGTCGCTCTCTGCTGTCTCTCCTGTTCCAGCAATGGCTTTGTCCAGTTTAGCTGGAGGGGAGGGGGTGGATCGCCATATGTGGTGCCCGGGATCGAACCCGGGTCAGCCACATGTATGGAAAGTGCCTGCCTGCTGTATTCTCTCCAGTCCCCAGCAGCGATTGCTTTTGGTTTGTTGGGTTTTGTTTTGGGAATTTGGTTCGGCTTGTTTTTAGATAACACTGGGCAGGGTGGGGGGCCTGGGGTGCTACTCTGAGCCCGAGGGTAGCTCCTGGTGCTACTTCGAAGACCATACAGTGCTGGACATCAGGTCTTCTGCATGCAGAGCATGTGGGCATGTTCCCAGCCTTTATTTTTTCCTTTTACTGGCAGTAAAATCTACCTGACGTACCACTTCCTGGGTTTTTTTTTTTTTTTTGGCTTTTTGGGTCACACCCAGCGATGCACAGGAGTTCCTCCTGGCTCTGCACTCAGGAATTCCTCTTGGTGGTGCTCAGGGGACCATATGGGATGCTGGGAATCGAACCCGGGTTGGCCACATGCCAGGCAAACGCCCTACCCGCTGTGCTATCAGCTCCAGCCAACCACTTCCCGTTTGAACCATTTCTGCTGTTTGAACCATTACTGCGTAATGCGAGCAGTGGGCAGTTTGGGGGTGAGGGGTTCACTGGGTGGGGGCCTTCAGGTAGCTGTCAGCCTCGTCCTGCGACGTCCCCAGATCGCCCCGTGTAGGAGGCAGCTCAGGCCCCGAGGCTTCCCTGCACATGTGTGACCCGTGGGCAGCAGGGCAGGGTCTCAGATCAGGCAGCCCGGGCCCCCGCCCCGCTTCCTTCAATCTGCATGAGGGCCGGCGTCGCCACCGTCCGTAGGTGTGGAAACTGAGGCTCAGAGAAGCCCAGGAGGGTGGAGAGTCCCGGGGCCTGGGCCGCACTGATCCCCCACCCCTGTGCCCCGCCTGCAGGTGGCGATGGTGGAGGTGCAGCTGGACGCAGACCATGACTACCCACCAGGGCTGCTCATCGCCTTTAGCGCCTGCACCACGGTGCTGGTGGCCGTGCACCTGTTCGCGCTCATGATCAGCACCTGCATCCTGCCCAACATCGAGGCCGTGAGCAACGTGCACAACCTCAACTCGGTCAAGGAGTCGCCGCACGAGCGCATGCACCGCCACATCGAGCTGGCCTGGGCCTTCTCCACCGTCATCGGCACGCTGCTCTTCCTGGCCGAGGTCGTGCTGCTCTGCTGGGTCAAGTTCCTGCCCCTCAAGAAGCAGCCGGGCCAGGTGCGGCCCACCAGCAAGGCCCCGAGCGAGGGCGCGGCGGCCAACAGCAGCGCGGGCGGCATCACCCCGGGCCAGGCCGCCGCCATCGCCTCCACCACGATCATGGTCCCCTTCGGCCTGGTCTTCATCGTCTTCGCCGTCCACTTCTACCGCTCCCTGGTCAGCCACAAGACGGACCGGCAGTTCCAGGAGCTCAACGAACTGGCTGAGTTCGCCCGCTTGCAGGACCAGCTGGACCACAGGGGGGACCACCCCCTGAACCCCGGAAGCCACTATGCCTAAGCCCCCACCCGCACTGGGCACTTGAGCGCGTTGGCCTTAGCCCGCCCGGGCAGAGGGGAGGGGAGAGGCTTTTTTGTAACGAGAAACTCACAGCACTTTGGAACTTTCCTCTGAGAATCCGCACTTCCGTTCTTCCACCTCCGGGTGCTCCCATTTGGAGACCACCGGCAGGGGCCAGCTTGGGGACAGACACTGCCTTTGTCCCTCCGTGCCCCGTGCCGGTGCCACCCGGTTGCTTCCTGCCCCCTCCCCCTCCTCCCCATTCAGGGTCGAGTGTGTGCGTGTGTGTGTGCGCGAACACAATATATTCATAAGGGACACCTCGCGCGTCTGTTAGTGGGGTCCGGGCTGCCGGGTACGATGTCGCCGGGGCCCCGGGGGCGCAGCCTCTGAGCATATTGTTCTCCATTCTCCGGGAAATTGCGTGAAGAGTAAGGAGGCGTCCAGAGTGCTCGGTGCTATTCTGCGCTCCCCACACCGCTCCTTGCTGGCCACAGGGACTACAGAGAGGGGAGTCTGTTCTGTGGCCTGCCCAGCACTGCTTTTGGTGTCAGTTTTTGGGCCACACCCAGCAGTGCTCAGGTTACTCCTGACTCTGCTCAGGAATCACTCCTGGCAGTGCTCAGAGGCCCTCATGGGATGTCGGGGATTGAACCCGGGTCAGCCGCGTGCAAAGCAAACACCCCCCCCCTCCTGTGTCCTATTGCTCCGGCCCCCGGTGTGTCTTTGTTTTATGTGTGTTTCAGCTTAAAGACACCTTGTTGACTGGTCCCCAGTGGAGTGGGCCTCACACAGCTTTTAGCCAGGCCCGTCACAGCCCTGAGGAAAACCCGCATGGAAAAGACGAGGGTTCGAACCGGGCACTAGGATTGCCTTGCACACGGCCGACCCAGGTTCGATTCCCAGCATCCCATATGGTCCCCTGAGCACTGCCAGGAGTAATTCCTGAGTGCAGAGCCAGGAGGAACCCCTAAGCATCACCAGGTGTGACCCAAAAAGAAAAAAAAAGTTTGCTGTATAGATTTGCAGATAATGAAACTGCCAATGTCCTTCCTCGGAGCATCCCTTTCTGCCTCAAGGCAGGGTGTGTATTTGTGGGGGATCACCCTCAGGCCTGTGGGCAGCCTTGGATCCCCTCCCAGAAGGGCGTGTCAGTGCCCTGGCCTCCTCACTCAGGGCTCTCCCCTCTGAACCACTGTTAGGGCCTCCTGTTCCAAGCTGACGCTCCCTCTGGCCCCTGGGCCTCCCTGCATCCCTGAGCTGGGGTGCTCCTGTTTCATTTTCTGGGCAACACTTGGCAGGGAGGCAGGTGGGACTTAGCAGGGACTGGCGGGGGGACTGTGTGTGGTTCCGGGAATGGATCTGGGTTGCCTGTGGGACAGCGCTGACCCTGCAGCATCTCTCCGGCCCCCGCAGGCATGCCCAAGGTGCAGATGCAGACCAGTGGGAGGTGGTCTGCTGCCCAAGCTCCCCCGCTCCCCCATGGCACTCCATTAACATCACCAGGTTCTCCTTTATTCTCACACACTCAGGAATAGTTCCAACCAGGGGTCTGACAAGGAACAGGAGTCACCTCGCCCAGCCTGGGGGCGAGTGTGAGCACCCCATTGGCAAAGACTGGTCCAGTGCTGGATGGGCAAGGGTGCCCTCGGAGGGTGCCCCAGCTGAGCCCAGAGCCTACAGGGACCATGCCAGTCTGAGTGGTTGGTGACACCAGCTGGTTTTCTCCTGAAGCTCCAGGTTCACTGCCAAGGCAAGGGGTTGCTGGGAGCTGGAGATCGACGCTGCTGCTTTCGGGCCAGCATCGCCCATGCCAGGAGGGGCTGGCACACCAGGCTCCACCAGATAGCGCCAAGGGTGGGGCCAGGGCAAGCCACCCCTGGGGTGTCCAGGCAGGACTCCTGTGAACTGGTCTTTGAGCTTTGGAGGGGAGGTTTGCACGGGGACTGGCCGCCCACTTCCCAGGGCAAGGAGACCTGGACTGAGGCGTGGGCACACCAAGGGTGGCGATGAGGTCACCTCACCTGGCCCGAGGCGAGCTGCTGGGCTGCGTCAGTGCGAAGCCTGTGTGTCCGCAGTCCTGCTGGGCTACACACCCGATTCACTCTCTCCTTCCTGTGCTTTCGTGAACTGGGCCAGGGCTTCCTCCAGCACGCCGTCGGGGTCTGCAAGTTTGATCTGGAGGGAAACAGTCAGAGGTCAGATCCAGGTGCGTGAAAACCTAGGCTGTTGGCTGCGAAGAGTAATGCCAGCCTCCGGGTGCTGCCCGCCTCCGTGGGAACGCTCGAGCTGAACACGGAAGCGTGTCTGCTGTCTGGGCAGGCAGGTGTGGCCCAGGTTCTATTCATACTCTCACACTCGCTCGCTCTCTCCCTCCCTCCCTCCCTCCCTCTCGCAGGGCTGCCCACCTCAGGAATGGGGAACTGTGTGGGCTTGGGGGCTTCATCGCGGCCAAAGTCGATCATGGTGCCACACTTGGCCACGTCGTCCACCCAGAAACCTTCGAACAGCTGTCCGCGGTCCAGGTGGAAGAAACGGCCCTTCCCGTTCTTCATGCCTTTCTCCCACTGGCCCTCATAGCGGTTTCCATTCTCTGGGGGAAAGTAGAGAGGGTATGAGCGCTGGGCACAGCAAACCCGTGGGCAGGCCGGCCTGTCTGTCACCTCTGGGTGATACCATTCTGTCCAGGAGCTGGAGGAACCATGCTGATGGCGAGTTTGTGCCCTGGGGTCCACCGTTTCCACAACAAATGTGGCTCACTTCCCTGAACTTGAATTCTCTCAGCCTCCTTTCGGGCAGGGCAGGTACAGCCCGGCAGGCCCTGACACTCCCACGCTCAGCTGGGCAGCCGTTGTTCTTCCTGACCTTCCTCCTCAGACAACTGGAAGGAACGAAGGAACCACACCTCCTCCTGCTGTTTGTAGAAGGTTATGTGTGTGTATTTGCAATCCAGAGGGCAGGAGCCCAAGCTTTTTTTTTTTTTTTTTTTTTTTTTTTTTAGTTTTTGGGCCATACGCGGCGGTGCTCAGAGCCTACTCCAAGCCCTGTGCTCAGGGTTCACTCTTGCCGATGCTTGGAGGACCGCATGGGATTCTGGAGATTGAACCGCAATCAGCCACATACAAACCAAAGGCCCTCTCCACTCTACTGCTGCTCCAGCCCAAATGTCTAACCCCACAGAGTGAGAACAGCAAAGCTCAGGCTTCTCAGCACCGCATGACCTCGGCTGGTCCTTTCAGCCCACGTTGCTTTTGTGACACGGAAGTCACAGTAGCACGTGCGTGCTCACACTCAGTGTTGGAAGGTTCAATGAGCAACACACGCATGAGGAGGCTGAGCGGAATTCAGCATGGATGGGCCAGCCAGTGCCTCTGTAGACGGGCAGGTCATAGGGGTTTCAGCTGTGTGAGCTTCAGGGCTCAGAGCAGCAGTGGACAGCACAGGAAGTCTGCTTGGTGGGAACGTGCTGACCCTGCACTGGCCCTGTTTGCTGACCCTGCCTCTTGCAAGGCTGAGGGGTGCGCAGCTCTGAGCACCTGCTCACAGGTACCAGGCTGAGCCCTGCACCACACGGGGCTCTTCTCACCTCCCCCCATACCTTGACTCACATGTGCATGTGCCCAGATGTATCTCCACTGTGGTACCCTGGGTCCTCACATGCAGGCAGGCATTCTGTCCCTGAGCCACATCCCCGGCTCCACATTTACCTGCATTTCACTGATGAGGACTCAGAGGTACAGTTTCAGCAAACTGACAAGCCTAAGTCAGAAACCGAAGCCTGCAGTTCCCCCAAGCCCAGACCTGAAGCGGTGACACTGCGAGGCTGCACAGGAAGCTTCTTTAACTTGGCAGCTAAAAGGTGGCCGGGGAAACAGGCATGCCCCAGGCGCAGGGGCTGGTGAGAGGAGCACAGCTGTCTGTCCCCCAACTCAGCCTAATCACATGGGAAACTGAAAAATTCAGGGGAGGAGGGGAGTGCTCAGGGGCTACTCCTGGCTTTGCTCTGGGGTCATTCCTTGCAGTGCTCAGGAGAGCATATGGGGCTGAGGAGGGAACCCGGCTTCCTGCATGCCAAGCACGCGCTCCAGTCTCTGGAGCTCTCAGGTCCATGGAGCATTTTTGGCCCCAAGCTATGTGATCTTGAGTGAGTGCGTGACAACCTCTTCATTTGTAAAGAGCATCTGCTTAATGGGAACAGTGAAATCGGCCATCTCAGAGGGAACAAGGGAGGAGCACTTGCTGGTCTGTCCATGAGGAACCCTCTTGCTTGCACGTCACAGACCCTGGTTGCATCCACCAAACTGCTGGTTCGCGGTACTTGGGGGTGCCGAGGATTGAACCCATGTCAGCTGCATGCAAAGCAAGAGCCCTAACTGCTGTCTCGTCTCTCAAGCCTCACCTCCCCTATTTACCTCAACCCACACCTGAGAGAGGCTGAGGGGCGTGGCCACACACGTTGCTAGGAGGCGGGGTTTGAAGGCGGGTGTGGAGGTTTGTGTGGGTGTGGCCAAGCTCTCGGGGGCGTGGCTAGATGTGCCAGGTGGTCATGTGTCATAAGGAGGCGGGGTTTATGGGCCAGGCTGCGGGTTTTGGGGGTGGGCGTGGCCTCGCACCCGGAAGCTGGTTTGTGGGCGTGGCCATGCCGCCAGGGGCGTGGTCAGCGGTGTCATGTGGGCGTGGCCACACAGTGCCAGGAGGCGGGGCTTGAGGGTCGCGGTCGGTGGGGGCCAGGCGGGACACTCACTCAGCCGCAACATGCCCTCCCCTTCGGGCTTGTCGTCGTACCACTGGCCTTCGTAGATGTCTCCGTTGCTGTAGTACATGCGGCCCCACCCAGTGCGTCGGTTGCCACACCACTCACCCTCGTAGTACTCCTTGGGTCCAAAGAACTGGATGCCGTAGCCCTGAAAGCACGCCCCCGTTCAGTGCCGCCGACCCTCCAGGCGCCCAGGCCAGACACCTGGACTGCTTTCCGCCGCCCCCTCGGCCCGTCCTTCCTCTGGGCTGCCATCCCCCCTAGACTTCCCTGGCTCCGCGCTCAGGAATCGCTCCCAGCGGTGCCAGGGAACCGTATGGGATGCCGGGGACCGAACCCGGCTCCGCCGTGGGCAAGGTGAGCACCCTCCCCCCTGCGTTATTGCTCCGTTTGTCCGTATTTCTAAGGGGCCTGCAGGACTGTGACCCGTTTGGGCGTTTCTCGCTCGGGGACACTGCCTGCCTCCTATCCCTCAGGACCATCCTCTGTCCTCTCGTGGTCCCGGCCCGGCCTCTGCTTTCTTGTTCCACTTTCCCACCCACCTCCATCTTGTATCCAAGCCCAATTCAAGGGAGGCTCTGATAAAAGGGAGGCCCAGGGGAAAGAAAGCCAGGAAACTAGCGGGGACAAGCAGGGGGGAGGCTGGCGGCAGGGGCTCACTTCATGGCTCCTTCCAGGCCCTCTCCTCCAGCTTCCCGTTTCCTGGCTTTTGTTCTGAAACGCCTTCAGGATCCCCCACCCCTTCCTTCTCCCACCCACACCCCATCAGACAGACACCTCACACCCCACAGGCACTCAAGCACACCATGCACTCACCGATTTCTTGTCACCTTTCCACCAGCCCGAGTATACTCTCCTGTACCTTCCAGTCTCTTTCTCAGGAAGGCTGAGGGTCCCATAGCCATCTCGCTTTCCAAACTTCCAGTCCCCCTCATAGATGGCACCTTTCTTCCAGATTTGTGTTCCTTTTCCTGGAGACACACAGAGAAGTCAGTGCTGCAGGCACGGCCGCCACCTTGCTGGGCATGGTGATGGCAGGCTTTGTCTAGGCCTGGGTCCTAGGGCCCTCAGACCTGGTGATTCCAGAGCTGGGAGAAGGCTCAGTGGCTAAGGCATGAGGCAGTGGCTGTGATCGCTGATGCCGCTGGTCTGAGCATGATCTGGGTAGTTCTGCTGGTGGTGCGCTGCCAGCTACACCACAGCCAGGCGAGTGCAAGCACTGAAACTAAAGATGCTTAGTTTTGGCACTTGATGTACCTAAGGCTGACCCAGGTTGGATTCCTCGTATCCCACATGGTCCCCTGAGCCCTCCCGAGCGTAGAGGCAGGGGTCAGCGTTTGCCCTGGTTGATCCAAGTTCGATCCCCGTTATCCCATATGGTCAGCCCTGAGCACAACCAATGGTGACAGAAAAAGATAAAAACAAAAGGTCCAGGGGCTGGAGAGATAGCACAGCGGGTAGCGCGTTTGCCTTGCACGCGGCCGACCCAGGTTCGATTCCCAGCATCCCATATGGTCATCCCAGCATCCCCTGAGCACCGCCAGGGGTAATTCCTGAGTGCAGAGCCAGGAGTAACCCCTGTGCATCGCCAGGTGTGACCCAAAAAGCAAAAAAAAAAAATTTAAAAAAAAAAAGGGTATGTTTTGAGGATAGGGAAGCATATGGCTCCGTGGTAGAACTTTCATGTTACAATTATGAGGTTCTGGGTTTAGTTCCCAGCACCACTAAAAAAATGTTCAAGGGTCTGAAGCTGGAGAGATAGTAGTTTGTAGGACACATGCCTTGCACATGACTGACCAGTTGAATCCTCAGCATTCCATATACTCCCTAAAGCCCTGCCATGAAAAAAAAAAAAAAGCCCTACCGTGATTGACCTCTGAGCACCACTGAATGTGGCTCAAACCATCTCCAAAATATTATTTGAGCATTGTGAATACAAATGTGACCTGGGGTGTCGGGCCCAAGCCTGGATCTTATGGGATTTAGGGGCTAAAACCTGACTGGTCACGTGCAAGGCAAGCACCCTGTTTATAACTGCCCTTAAAATTGTTAGTGGACCAGAGAGATAACACAGTAGATGTGGCGTTTCCCTTGTACGCGGTTAACCCGGGTTCAATCCCTGGCATCCTATATGGTCCCCAAGCACCGCCAGGAGTAATTCCTGAGTGCAGAGTCAGAGTATGCCCTGAGCATCGCCGGGTATGACCCCAAAAGACCGACAACAACAACAAAATTGTGCTTGCTTTTCGGCCACACCTGGCTGTGTTCAGGGATTACTCCTGGTTCTGAGCTGAGGATTCGAACCCGGGTCCACCCTACATACTTCCTCTTTGACGCCTTCAACCTTATTTTCTTACGCTCTCAAATCAGGAAGTTGGCATCGGCGGACCCCGCCCCCTGGCAATTCTAGCCAATCAGCCTCCACACCCAACGCCCTGTGATTGGTTCAGCGAAGTACATGTGACCCACGTTAGACCAATGAAAGTCAGTTCCTTTTAGTCGCTTTGGGGCCTTAGGGGCATCTTGAACCGCTGCAGTGAATGGCTTATCTCTGGAAGGGAACTGGGAGAAGGAACTGAGTTAAAGGAACCCGGGGTCACTCCTGGTGAGCTCAGAAAACGGTTGCGGTGCCCGGGACCAAACCCGGGCCGGCCGCGTCTCTACGGGCCCGTGGCCTTTGCTTAAAATTAACCACCACCGTCACCAGCGCGGGAGAGAACGCCGGGAGGGGGAGGGAGAGGCCAAGTTCCATTTGGCCTCTGAGTCCAGCCGTGCCCGAACTTGTATTGATTGCTTAAGCCGGCCCACGTGAGTTTCTGTCTGGAACCACCTGGGCAGTCTGGGCAGATGCCCACGCCACCAGAGCCCTGAGCGGGACAGATGTCGTGAGACCCGCAGGGCCAGCATTGGAGTGGACGGGGCCTTGCACACACACCCATGCCTCGCCCCCATGTCCACTTGGACGCCGGCACTAGAAGAAAGTGAAGGTTTGAGGGTGCAGCAACCAAGCAGGAACAAAGGGGTGCAGCTCGCCACCGGATCTCAGCACGGAATCAGCCCGTGAGCGGGTCCAGAGACCCAGGCTGAAGGCTGCCTTCCCATGCTGGAGACACCACGCAAGGAAGCCAAGGTTAAGGGCCAGCGGAGCAACAGACTGTTGCCAGCAGTCTCGGCCCCAGAGGGAGCGAGAACAGGAGCCAAAGAGGAGACTGAGGCAGATCAGATGCTGGCAAAGCCAGAGCCACAAGGCGGTGGGTAGCCCACTAGACCCACGAGAGCCCACCAGCGAGGCCACCTGGCAGGGGCCAGACATGTGGAAAGAGCTGCTCGATGGGGGCTGGGGCTTCAGAGGAGAGAGCCAGTGCCAGGGGTGCCACCGACCACAGGGCTTTCCACCCCTCTTTATACCTACCTCTCTCTCACCTGGATCTTGACCTAGCTGGAGGCCAGAGAGCAAAGCATGCTGGGAAGTGTAGTTTTCTGTAGTCCAGAGTAAAGCAAGTGGGAGGAGGCCACATGACCAGGAGTCAGTGCTCCTGGGGCCCGTTTGTGAGCCCCTGCCCCTAAACCAGGGTGTGACGTCAGTGAGCGCCACAACTGAAGAGACTTGTCCCCAAGAAACGCTGGGCGTCGGTGCTCCCAACCAATCTCCACTGGGCGATAGCACAGTAGGGAGGGTGTTTGCCTTGAACGCAGCCGATCCTGGGCATCCCAAATGGTTCCCTGGGCACCGCCAGGAGTAATTCCTGAGCACAGAGCCAGGAGTAATACCCGAGGATAGCTGGATATGGCCCCCAAACCCAAAATCATAAAAACTTAAAAAAGAATGCCCATTCTGCAAACCTGGTCTATTCTGCCTTGTGTCCGTTCTCACAACTTCTAGCCTCTACTGCGGTTATTTTTCGGGTGGGTCTTGCCCTGTGTATGGAAGTCTGCTACAGTTTTCACTGGAGCTCAGAGGTTAGCAGAGTCCCTAGCACACAGTAGGTATGCAGCTCAGTGTTGGGAAGCCAGTGTGAGGGGAGCTCTTCCTGCCTCCCAGGGCCTCCCGTGTTCAGCACTGGTTCGGTACACCCTCCTCTGGGTACCAGGAATGAAAGTTCTGTTTGGTTTTTTTTGAGGGGGCCATACCCGGTGGTGCTCATGGCTTACTCCTGGCTCTGCACTCAGGGATCACGCTTGGCGGTTGCTAGGGGCAACCATATGGAGTGCTGAGGGAACTCTGGTCACCACAAGCCAGGCAAATGCCCTACCTGCCGTGCCGTGGCCCCACGGTATCAGGAATGATGCAGATAAAGAGGTTGACTGGGTCTTATCCTGCTTATTTGATGGCGAGGGCCACCCCAGCAGTGTCAGGGTTTACTCCTACCTCTGCGCTTAGGCATCACTTGACCATAGATGTTTCTGGGGATCTGAACTGGGGTCAGCAGGATGCAAGGCAAGTACCTTAACCCCCCTCTATCTCCTGCCCACATCGATCAGTTATTTTCCTCGTTTTGGAACTGTCCAGAGTTACTGAGGGGCCCTCCTGCTTGGTCCTCAGGGGTCACTCCCAGAAGTGTGCAGGGTTGAAACGCAGACTCCTGCCTGCAGAGTACGTGCTCCAGCCCTTTAGGCTCTCCCCCCACTGCCCTCCGTTTGATTTTGGGGCAGAGAGAGGGAAGTAAGACACCCCAAATCACACAGCTCCTCGGTGTGGGGGTGGAGGTGACTCACTGGGGTGTTCATATCTTGCAGGCACAAGGCCTGGGCTCAATCCCAGCATCCCCCCCAAACAGAAGGAACCTCAGGGTTCAAGTACAGGGCTCAAGTACAGGGCTGTGCAGCCCACATGACCCGCCCGAGGCTGGAAGCAGACACTGCTGGGCAGGCTGTGTGAAGCTGGGCCCTGAAGTCAGGGCGGGGGCCTGGCTTATACTGGAGGTGCGAAGATCAGCCATGGAGGAAACCTTAGAGCAGGAAAGTTCTAGATTCTTTGTGTTCCCCACCCTTAAAGAACCTGCAGAATTCCCCTTCTCAAGGCTCCTGCAGAAGAAGCACTTGAGGAAGGTCCAGGGTCCCCCGGGGCAGGGATGGGGTCTGAGCTCCAGGGCAGAGGGTCTCTCTTCCCCTTTGTGCTGGTTCCTGAGCATCTCCGGGAGAGCCCTGGGCCTCTCCTGCCCCCGCCACCAGGCCAGATGCCCTTACCGTGTTTCAGGTTGTCCTTCCACTCGCCCAGGTAGCGGTCGCCGTTGACGGCGTACACCTGGTGGCGGATGCCATTCCTCTGCGCCTTGCGGTCCCACTCCTTCCACAGGGGCAGCGACTTCTGTGGGCACTTGGTCACCGGCATGCCGCCGCCTACTGCTGTGATGACAGGGCAGGCAGCAGGTCAGACGCTCCGGGCTCAGCTCACGGAACACCCAGATGCCGGGCTCCCTGGGCTGGAGCCGGGCCCCGGGGAGCAGCGGGGGATGATTTGTGGTGGACGCAGCCTCTCCCGCTCCCTGCCATCTCCGGGGCCCTGTGAAGGTAAGGCTGATGGCACAATTACTTGGGCACCCCGGGAAACCAGGGAGGGAGGTTTGTGATGACACCAGGGACAGTCTGACCCCAGGCAGGGGTGAAGGTCACCTGTTTCACGCCCAGCTGACCACTGAATGTGGACACTGTGCTGACTTTCAAATTGGAGTCTGGCCTGGAACAAGCAGGGTTGTGATGCCTGGGACCCGGTTCAGAGGGTTTGAGGGCAGCCAGGCAGGGTTGAGAGACAACTGCTGGGCACGGGGGGGGGGGGGGGTCACCCCTACCCCCACCTTGAGTCCCTTATTTCTGCCTCTTCCTTCTGAGGGATACTGTAGCACTGTCTTCTTGTTGTTCATTAATTTGCTTGAGTGGGCACCAGTAACGTCTCCATTTGAGACTTGTTACTGTTTTTGGCATATCGAATACTCCATGGGGAGTTTGCCAGGCTCTGATGTGAGGGCAGGATACACTCAGTAGCTTGCTGGGCTCTGAGAGGGGCAGAGGAATCGAACCTGGGTCGGCCTTGTGCAAGGCAAACACCCTACCCGCTGTGCTATCGCTCCAGCCCTGGAAGAGCCCAGCACTGGTTCTCCTGAGTTCGCAAGCTGAGCTCCAGCTGAAGAGATGGTGCAGGGACAGGGCGCTGGCCTGGCACAATGTAGGCGCATTCTTACAGCCAGCACTGCCAGGAGTAAGCCCTGACCACTGCCCAGTGTGGGCGAAACCAAAGAAAGCAAAACAAAAGCTGAAAAATTATCAAATATTTTTAGTTTTTGTTATTTTTTTCCCTTTTTTTGTTTTGTACGTGGCTGACCGAGGTTCAATCCCCAGTACGCCCCAATTGTCCCCAAGCATGGCCAGGACTGATACCAGCACAGAGCTGGGAGTAAGCCCTGAGCACTGCTGGGTATGGCCCAAAATTGGAAAAAAGAAAAAAAGTGAATTACAAAAATTAATTGGAAAGGCCAGAGAAATAGTATAGCCAGTAGGACATTTGCCTTGCACACAGCCAAACCAGGTTTGACCTCAGCACCCCATATGGTCCCCTGAGCACTGCCAGGAGTGATTCCTGAGTGCAGAGCTAGGAGTAACCCCTGAGCACTGCTCGGCGTGGCACCAAAACCCCCAAATAAATAAATAAAATTTCAAATGAATCGGATTCAAGCCCTGAAACACCGGTGATCCTCCTGGCCTGCTATGGGTGATGCCTGAGCACTGAGGCAGGAGTAAACCCTGCACACCTCGGGTTGTGGCCCAAAAAACAAAACCAAAGAAAATAAACTAGTGAGGGGCTGGAGTGATAGCACAGTGGGTAGGGCGCTTGCCTTGCACGCCGCTGACCCGGGTTCAATTCCCAGCATCCCATATGGTTCCCTGAGCACCGCCAGGGGTGATTCCTCAGTGCAGAGCCAGGAGTAACCCCTGAGCATCATCAGGTGTGACCCAAAAATTTTTTTAAAAAAAAGGAAAAAAAAAGAAAATAAACTATTGAGGGGAAATAGTCACTGTTTTCTTCTCTTATTTCCACTAATTAAACTTTAATTCATAGGAAAAAATTAAAATAGAAATAAATTTTAGGGGCTGGAGCAATAGCACAGTGGGTAGGGTGTTTGCCTTGCACGCGGCCAACCCGGGTTCGATTCCCAGCATCCCATATGGTCCCCTGAGCACCGCCAGGGGTGATTCCTGAGTGCAGAGCCAGGAGTAACCCCTGTGCATCGCTGGGTGTGACCCAAAAAGAAAAAAATAATAAGTAAATAAATACATTTTAATTCAAGGGCCCAGGAGAGGATTCAGTGGGCTGGAACCTCCCCTCTGTGAGAGACCTGGGTCAGATCCCTCAACCACACGGGGCCCAAGAAATTCTGGGAATAGTCTCTGAACACTACTGAGTATGGCCTGAAAAACAAGAAAAAAAATTTTAAGAGTTTTGTTTTCCTGGGCTGGAGTGATAGCACAGCGGTAGGGCGTTTGCCTTGCACGCAGCCAACATGGCCGACCCGAGTTCGATTCCTCCACCCCTCTTGGAGAGCCCGGCAAGCTACCGAGAGTATCTCGCCCGCACGGCAGAGCCTGGCAAGCTCCCCGTGACGTTTTCAATATGCCAAACACAGTAACAGCAAGTCTCACGATGGAGACGTTACTGGGCCCGCTCGAGCAAATCGATGAACAACGGGAGGACCGTGACCGTGATTGTTTTCCTGAGGGGCCAGAGAGACAGTACAGTGGTGAGGGCATTTGCCTGGCATGCAGACTACTTACTGGGTTTGATCCCCAGCATCCCATATGGTTCCCTGACACTGCCAGGAGTAATTCCTGAGTGCAGAGCCAGGAGGAACCCCTAAGCATTGCCAGGTGTGGCCCCAAACAAAAACAAAAGTGCTTTCTACTGAGCACTTTCTCTCTCTCTCTCTCTCTCTCTCTCTCTCTCTCTCTCTCTCTCTCTCTCTCTCTCCCATCTCAAAACTTCCAAATAAACCTGTTTTCACTGAAAAAAAATTTTTTTAACTTCATTAATTAACTGAAAAAAAAATCAAGGTAGGCCCACGGATATAGCTCATCAGAACAAAGCATTTGTTTTGAGGGAAGAAGAGATTTGGGCCACACCTGGCTGTGCTTGGGCCTGACTTCTGGTTCTGAACTTGGGAACCATCCTGACAGAGCTCAGGGACCATATATGATCCTGGAAGGACCGAACCAGGGTCCGCTCCATGCAAAGCCAGCACCTGACTTGCTGAGGCCCTGGGTTCGATCCCTGGCACCAACATCAACAGCAGCTACAGCATCGCCAATTTCCCCAGTGCCGGTGATAGAACCCAGGGCCTTAAGCTGAGCTCCATCCCAGCTGTGATAAGAGTAATGGTCAATACATCCATCCAACAGACTTTGCATATCGTTACTATCAATGGAAGCTGAGTATCAGGTCCCCTACGGGCTATGGAAATAAAAGCCAACACTAAGCTTTAGTCATCTTGGCTGGCAGTTGAGATCAGCAATGTGCAGGAAGGGGTTAACCCCTTATGAGTCTAAACTGGTGCTCTCGGGCTGGAGCAATAGCACAGCGGGTAGGGTGTTTGCCTTGCATGCAGCCGACCCGGGTTCGATTCCCAGCATCCCATATGGTCCCCTGAGCACGCCAGGGGTGATTCCTGAGTGCAGAACCAGGAGTAACCCCTGTGCATGGCCAGGAGTGACCCAAAAAGCAAAATAAATAAATAAATAAAAATAAAAAATAAACTGGCACTCTCCGTGGTTTACTCAGAATTGTAAGCGAGCCTAAAATCTGGTAGCTTTTGCTGCGGTTGGGTTTGGTTTGGGGGCCACGCCCGACGGTTACTCATGGCTCTGCATCCAGGGACCAGATCCGGCAGGCTGGGGGTTGGGGGGGGCGGGGGCTGGAGTGTCACCGGCTGGGCGCCGTGCCCCTCCTAGCGCCTCGGCCATCTCTTACTGCTCAGCCCTGCCCCGTGAGGTCATCCTTTGCCCACCCTGGATTCCTAACGGGCACGTGGGCTCAGGGCCTCAAGACTGGGCTCGGCTCCAAGTAACAGCCGTGGCCAAGAGGAAGACGGGATGCGCTCGGGGTCCACCCCCTGCGCCCTGCGCTCACCCGCGCGGCGGAAGCTCAACTCGGGGTCTGCGTCCTCGGCGCTGGGGTCGCCCAAACGGCGGCCGGCTCGCTCCAGCGTCGCGGGTCGCCAGGGCAACGCGGGCCCGGCCCGCCCCTTCCCTTCCCGCCGCGCAGTGCGCGGGCCCCGCGGGTGCTGGGCGGGCGGGCCGGGGGCGGTCAGCGCCCGCGGTCACCGCCCTCCCCCCCTCTCTCAGGCATTTGGGCACCTCCAGGGATCGCCCCAGCGACTGCTGCGGACGCCAAAGGGTTAAAGGCCCCGCCGCCGAGTTGCAAGGACAAAGCGACCGTGCTGGAAGCCACAGCCCAGCCTCTGGGGGGTTCTTGTCTGGTGGGGGGTCTCCTGGACTCCTCTGAGAGTTCGAGGGGCGCTGTCCCGCCGGCCCTGGCGCGGTGGGTTCAAGCTCCAGTTTTCAGCCCTGCGTGGGGATCCAGACCCAGATCCTCCGCTGGCTCGCGGTGGGGCAAACCCCAGAGAGCCCCAACTTCCCCTAAGCCCTAACTCCCTTCTCCCTGTCCACAGCCCCCTGTGAAGTCCTGTTCTCTGGTTTTTCTCTTCTGGTGTTGGAATATACAACTCCAGTCCTCGGCTCTACCAGCTGAGCTATGGAAGGGAGCACTGGAATAGAGGCGCTGGGGTGAGGAGGTGGGGGAGGGTACTAGTCCCGGCTGGTCATCTGGGGGTCTCAACCAGGGCCAGCGGTGTGCCAGGGACCCGCCTTAATCCTTGCACCTTCTCTTCAGCCTCTGTTAGCTGTTCCTGTGGATGTTTTTCCTCTGGGACCATCTACCATGGGATTCATACAACCCACTTTGGGTCGGAGGGATGGTACAGTGGGTAGGGTGCTTGCTTTGCACACCCAGGACCTGGGATCAATCCCTAGCGCCCCATAAGATCCCCGATCCCCGCCAGGAATCCAGGAATAAGCCCCCAAGCACTGCTGGGTGTGGCCCTAAAAATAACAAAAATACAACCCATTTGTGTGTCGTGGAGGTGAAGCTTTGGCTCTGGGGTCTGTGGCAAGGTCAGTCTGCCCACCCGAAGGATCGCTTTCTCCGGGACCTCTTGCTTCCCTGCACAGAAACACTGAGCACTTGTCCCCTCTCCTGTTGTCTGGGTAACCCCCAAATCAGTGCTCCAGGGCTGCTCCCTGCGGTATGCGCTGTGGGGAAGCTCGCCTCCCTTAGCCCATTGGCTTATTGCTCTAACCTCACTTTTTTTCTTTTTTCAAAAACGATTGGCTTTGGGGGGAGGAGAAGGGGGAGTTGCACACCTGGCAGTGCTCAGGGGCTGCTTCTGTTTTCTTTTTCTTCTCTCTCTTTTTTTTTTTTGCTTTTTGGGTCACAATGCCAGGGGTAACTCCTGGCTCTGCACTCAGGAATTACTCCTGGCGGTGCTCGTGGGACCATACGGGATTGAAACCCTGTCGGTCGCGTGCAAGGCAAATGTCCTACCTGCTGTACTATCGCTTCAGCCCCTGCTTCTGTTTTGTTGCTCAAGAGTCGTTCCTGATGGTGCTCAGGAAATGGGACTCTGTGCAAGGCAGAAGCGGGACTGTCCCAAAGCTCCGGAGTAGCTCGGGCCTTCCCCAGGCTCTGTGCCAAAGGATCACTCCTGGCAGCGCTCGGGGGAACATCTAGGTCCTGGGAGTCGAACCCCAGTGCAGCTCATGCAAGGCAAACACCCTGCCCACTGGGTGGCGCTGGTCTCTTCAACCCAGATTATTATATTTATTTGATATGCCAAACACAGTGGGCTGGAGTGATAGCCTAGCGGTAGGGCATTTGCCCTGCATGCAGCCGACCGTACCGACCCGGGTTCAATTCCTCCGTCCCTGTCGGAGAGCCAGGTAAGCTACCGAGAGTATCTCGCCCCCACGGCAAAGCCTGGCAAGCTACCCGTGGCGTATTCGATATGCCAAACACAGTAACAACAAGTGTCACAATGGAGACGTTACTGGGCCCACTCAAGCAAATCGATGAACAACGGGAGGACAGTGCTACAGCGCCAAACACAGTAACAGAAGTCTCACAATGGAGACGTTACTGGGCCTGCTCGAGCAAATTGATGAACGACGGGAGGACAGTGCAGTGCATTATTATTATTGTTATTGTTTTAAAGACACCAGCTGTGCTCAGGGCTTGATCCTCGCACTGTCCTGGGGATCACGCAGGGACTAAGGTAGGCATGGCCATACGGAAGGCAAGCATCTTAACCCATGTGCATCCCTCTGGCCCCTAAAGAGAAGTTATTACCTGTAAAAGCTGTTGGGTTTGAGCCCCAGCACTTCAGATGGTTTCCACATTCCTGAACGCAGAATCGGGAGAAAGCCCTGAGCACCACGGGATCTGCCCCCTTCAAGATGGACTCACCCCAAGAAAGAGATAAAAAAAAGTCTCCTTCTAATTCTCTCTCCCATGCTCTGGCAAGATCACAGCCCAGTCTAGCACCTTGATTCTTGACCCGATCATGCGCAGACGCTAATGGTTCTTGCTGGCTCCATGTGGATTTCCTTGTCGACCCGCTGGGCTGCAGGGTTCTATTGCTGGTGTTTCGGCTCCCGTCTCCACCAGCCTCTCCTTCCCAGGTTCTGGCCAGAGCCTCCAGCTGGGCTCGGTTCAGGGTCCTTGGCTTCACGGCTGGGTGAAGGGGGGGACCTTGGGTGGTGGTGTGGGGTGAACCGCTGCTAGTGAAACCCTGTCATTAATATATTGTATATCATGATGTCTTATGTTTCAGTTGTTTTCTATATTTTTAAGTGTCCTGGACTGGTGGTGACTTTGCCAGATGCTGCCCTGCTACCTGCGTTTGTTCTAGAAACCGCCCTCCCATCCCCTGGTTAGGCCCGCGTCCCACCGCTGCAAGGAGTCCTTCTACAGCCCCAAACTGGACCCCAGCTCAGGGGACTCCAAGATGGTCCCTGGAGAGGAAACTAGGCGCATAGCCCTCTCAGTCCCCCGAGCCCTCCCGGAGTTAAGCCTGTGCATCACCAGGTGTGTCCAATGAACCAAAACAAAAATCAAAATACAGATTCTGGGAAATGCCCTGCCCCGTGGGGGTGGACTCTGGTTGTCCCAGGCTGAGTGGGGGTGGTGGCTGGCTACTCCCCATGCTGCCCTGATAATGAGGTAAGGAGGTGCCTGGACTGGGCCGACCTCCCCGCTTCCCCCACTTGCTGGCCTGCTTTGCCCTGTGGGGAAGGGAGTTGCCCTTGATGCTGGGGTGAGAAGGGCCCCTCAACCCCCCAGATAAACATTCCCAGGGCAGGGCAGGGTCCTCTTGACACTATCCTGAGCACAGAGTTTGGCTGGGTGCCTGCATGCTCCACCCCTGTGAGGAATTTTCTACCCAGCTACTTACCCCAGGGGGCGCCACTGAGGCTCCAGCGCTCCTGCCCAGGGGCCTTCTGGCATGGGGCAGCCTGGCTCTGGCCTCCCAGATAGCAGGAGAGACCCACTTGGTCAGGACCAGCAAGAGTCTCCCATATGCTGGGTGGAGTGTGGCTTAGTGTACACCTGGGTTTGATCCCCCCAAAGAAAAAGACAAAAGAGGAGGGGGCCCCAAGGGATAACCTAACACACTACAGTGCATGCTTTGCAAGCAAGAGCCCTGGTTTCATCCCCAGCACTGCAAAGCACTGGTAGAGTGGCCCAGAGCACTGTACTAGGAGTAGCCCCCGAACACTGCCAGATACGACCCACACAGCAAAACTAAAGACGAGGCTCGGAGAGATACACAGTGGGTAGGTCACTGCGATGCACGCAGTTGACCCTGGTTCAATCCCCAGCACTGCATAGAGTCCCCGGAGCTCAGAGCCACGAATAAACCCTGAGCACTGCCTGGTGTGGCCCCCCAACCCAAACAAAACAAAGCAATAAATCAGGATGGGAAAATAAACAAAACAGAGTATACCTAGAACCAAAACACACCTCGTATATTCACTCTATGAAATATGGAAGGAATGAAAACTGACACGGGTTACCCCTTGAACAAACCTCAGAAACGTGCTGAGGGAAACGGCCATACGCTACGGGGAGCGAGGGAGCTGGTGTCTGGCAGAGCACCTGCCTCTGTAATACGAGTCTCTGGACTCCATCCTGACACCCGAAAATGCTAAATGAAACAAAACGCCGTGGATCGTTTAATTCCATTTATGTGAAATGTCCAGAACAGGAAACTCTATAGAGACAAAAAAAAGTAGATCCGTAGGGCCAGAGAAATAGTACAGTGGGTAGGTACTTGCCTTGCGCGCAGCCTTGCAGGATTCTGACCCCCTAGTCCCCACCAGGGCCAGGAATAATCCCTGAGCACAGAGCAGAGCAACCCCGAGTACAGCTGGGTGTGGCCCAAAATCCAAAAGAAAAAGAAAATAGATCGGTGTCTGCTTGGTCATGATTTAAAGGGGTTTCAGAGTTGATGAAAATATTCTCTGACTGAGGTGGTAGTAGTACAATTCTGAGACTAAACTGAAAAAATGTGTGTGAGTTTCTTGCTCTGGGGGTGAAGGGCCTCCAAAGAGAGGGGATCTGAGTCTCTGGCGCAGGATGAGCGCCCTCTAGGGGTTTCCCAAGGCAACGAGCGAGACACGGGCCTCCTCTAGGTTTCAGAGGTTCGGTGAAAATTGAAAACCTGAGAAAATACTCAAAGATGGTAACACAAAGCGCGGGAATTGTTTACACTTTTATTGTCACGTAAAGCGCATGAAGGTAGTTGAATTACCATTAGTGCACAGCTGGGCACCCTTAGGGACCTGAACGTACGCTTCTTGTGAAAACGGGCCTGAGGAGGCAGTAGTGCCCCAGCTGCCTTCCCTGGTTTCCTCATCACTGAGGCGGCTACTAGTGTTTAAATGATGTTCGGTGAAAATTAAAGCTCAATTCTTCTGTGGCACTAACCACATTCCCAGTAGGCCTGTGTGGTCATGGACTCTCCCCTGGGCACTGCATGGATGGAACTTGGCTTTATCGAAGATAGTTCTACAGAACAGTGGTCTGAGATGGTCCAGGGGGTCAGGCACTTGCTTCGTTTGCAGCTGATCCTGGTTCAGGGTTCAGTCTCTGGTACCATATATGGTTTTCCTGAGCGCTACCA